ACGTGCCCCTCTTTATGGGGGTGAATTAACCCCTTCGTATCAACTCTCGCCAATGCAACTTTGCGCACATTTAGAGGACACTTCAAAACTACTCTTCGCGAAGTTTCTCCAAAATCGGTTGAAAATTCCCATAGATATGACGTTTTAAAAAAGTGTCCCTTTAATTTTGTTCGTCAGTGTAGAATAGGCCCCAAGATACTGCCCTGGGGGACTCCTGCTTCAATAGTGCAGATAACCGAAGTGGAATCCTGAATTTTAACAAAAAATGTTTTATTTTCTAGACATGATTTGATGAGCTCATAAAATGATATGGGAAAGTTTTGTTTGATTTTATATACATGTCCCTCGTGCCACACTTTATCAAATGCTTTCTCTATGTCCAAAAAGAGAGCAGTACAATATTTTTTTTCTTCAAAGGTAAGAGTAATTTGGTTTGTCAATCTATTGTTCTTGTTCACTTGCAGCACTTGTTCTATTGTAGCATGTTTGTTTCTAAAACCAAATTGATGTAGCGGTATTAAATTTTTATCCGTGATTATTTTTTTGAGCCTGGTTAAAATTATTTTTTCTAGTAACTTGCAAATTACGGAAAGTAGCGAGATTGGCCTGTAGGACGTTGGTAAATGTGATTCTTTTCCGGGTTTAGGCAACATAATTACTTGTGCTAATTTCCAGTTGATAGGGAAATACTTGATCCTTAGTACCGCATTAAAGATTATGGTAAGCATTCTTACTGCTTTTGGTAGGAGTTCCTTCATTATTTTTCCACTGATTAAATCAAAACCAGGAGTCTTTTTAATTTTGATATCTGCAATTAGTTTTTTTACTTCGTTTACTGTGGTTTTTGTTATATCTTGATTGAGATTAGTGTCGAACGCGATAAATGGAGTTATATTTGAACTTATTATAGAGGTATTTGGAATATTTGGTTTAAATGTATTTTGTAAATGTTCGGCAAAAGTGGTGGCTTTTTCGAGTGTGCTTTTTGCCCAACTAGAGTCTGCTTTTTTAATAGGCGGTAAAGAGACCACTGGCCTCTTTAGTCTTTTGCAAGCTTTCCATAGTGAGTAGTTTGTCGTCATTAGGAGAGAGGTTTGAAATGTAAGAATAAAACTCTTCGTTACAATAATTTTGAATTAATTGCTTCACTTCTTTCGTGATTTGGTTTAGTTTTTTTTTTTGTTATACTGCTATTACTGCTGGTTCTATTTGTTTAGAAGTTCTTAAAGGTACATTGCAATTTATGTTTTCTTCCAGGGATTGTTTAAATGCATTCCAATCTGTGTTACGATTATGCAAATATGGCATTGTTTTTGTGAGGATAGATTTATATAGATAATTTATTAAAATCGAAGAATGATGAGAACTAAGATTTAAGCAAGATTTAATTTTAAAATGCAATTTGTTTAATTCTTTGGTTATTGCGAAGTCCAATAGGTCGGGAGCTTTGTCGTAGGCTGATGGCCAGTATGTAGGTTCGCCAGTGGTCAGTGTGTCTAATGATAGTATCCTTATTGTTTGTTCTAGGATTTTACCTTGAGGTGAATTTATTCTAGAGCCCCATAAAAACGTGTTTCGCGTCTCCGCCGGCAATAAATTTGCTCCCTAATGTTTGAAAAAAATTTGAATATTGCTGTACTGACATTTTGTGTTTTGGAGGACAGTAAACTGCAGCTAGCGTAATATTTCCATGAACTGTGCTAATAGTGACAGCAGCAGCTTGTATATGCGTGTCAGTGGTATTTTGATGAAGAAAGTGTTTAATATCTTGCTTAATAACTATAGCTGATCCAACGCGTGCTTTGCCAGATGGGTGTTTAGCATCGTAGATATTATAAGATGGAATTTTAACGTAATTCTTAGTAGTAAGATGTGTTTCTGGAATAAGTATTACATCAATTTTATTAACTTGTAGAAAGATTTTTAATTCTTGTAATCTTTGTTGTAGCCCATTTGCGTTCCAAATTGCAATGTTTAATGTAGTATCCATTTTATTTGTTAATGTTAAGCATGCGTGTGATAAGTTCTATCATTGTGTTAATGTGTTGCGACTGTTGACTTAACAATTTAGTTTGTTCAATGAGGATATTTGTTATTAGTTCTGTATTTTTAATTGAGTTTATTAACAGGTGTTTAATTTCTGTTGAGTCTGATGCTGATTCGTGATTTTGTAAAGTGGGAAACGATTCGTTTAGAATTTCCTGATTTCGAGTTGCTTGAGCATAGGTTTTTGTATGTATATAAGACTGCTGGGTCGTGATAGTGTTGTTGTTAGCGTTCACTGTGACAGTTTGGTTTTGAAGGTTTGAATTTACCGTAACTATTTTCTGTTCAAGTTTAGGATATAATTTTTGCTATAATTGTTTACGTATTATACAACCTTTATGGGTAGCAGGATGATTTCCTTGGCAATTATAACATTTTACGTTATCTATTTTTCCTACGATAGAACAATTCGAAGTCCAGTGTTTACCTGCACATTTAACACACGCGGGAATTCTATTGCACTAGTTTCTGGTATGACCGTAGGCTTGGCAGTGTGAACATTGTGGGATGTCTCTTTTAGTTCTTGGAGGTTCAAAAGATACTATAGTGTTCAGTAATCTATCGATCTTAAAAATTTCTTTATTGTTATCGCTCGGTTCGAGTTCTATGAAGAAAAGTGGTAGAGGTTGCTTTGTGTCGTGTTTTATTATATTATTTATCCGTCTTACCTGGTGGCTGAATTTTTTTAGTTCGCTAGTAATTGTACTTGGATTTGTTTTAGGGTGCATTCCTCTTAGTACTACCTTGTAACTTTTGTCTTTCTTTAGTTGATACGTATGAAAATTCGCCTCTTTCAGGGCTATAACAACTTTGCTGTAGATTTCGGTGGAGTTGGCTTGAACTTTGACGTGGTTATCTTTTAACTGTTTTAGCGTGAAGTTTTCACTTGCAGTTTCTTTGAGAAGTTCCATAAGAGGTTCAATAATTTGAGCCTCGACGTATATTGGTGGAGGTTTTGGTTGAAGTTGAGTTGTTTCTGTCGCGGTGTTTTCTATTGGTTCGTCTGTGATTTCTGATAGTATATTGTAAGGGTTTTCAATAGTTATGTCTGTTAACCATTTGTCGTGAAGTGTTTCTGCGTCGCTAATCATAAGGTTTGAAGGTGGATTAGTTTTCCGTTTCTTGGGTGCAGCTTGATTTAAACCACTATTCGACGGTTTATCGATATCCATTAAGTTTGAAATGGAATTGTTATTTTTATTTTTATTGGCTTAATGTTTGGCAACAGTGTAGTTTTCTCCATCTTTAGCGATTTTTAATCGGAGATTAGCCATTTGTGCCGTTGGGAATCTAAACTTGACAATCGGAAAATTTACTCTCTTTCGAACTCGCACTCGCACTCGAAGTAACGTAAACACGTAACACAGAGATACTTTGACACTTCGCGTAAACATGTCTTATCGCTATGACGATTTAGTCGCGACTGCCTAGCGCATAGCCTTCGCTACCGCAGCCGCTCCAACGGTATACGCGCGCTCTGATTGGTCGGGGTTTTTTACTAGTATCTGCTTAACGAAGCCTCGGTCAACATTTTCGCTAAGAAAAAGTTGTTTCAAATCACCTCTCGAACCACTCCTTTCAAGGTGTTACAACATTTTTGTGACACCCTGTATAGACGTACAGTTATTATCTTTGTTGTAGCTAGTGTTTTTCGCAAACAACATGCATATATAATCAGGTACATGTTATACATCAATAGATTCAGGAAAACAAATATGTTCGTTTTTGTTATTATATAAACTACGATTACTTTTAAAATAATGTTATAAACAAATTCTTGATTGTAAGCAAATCATTTTTTGACAAAATTTAGAGTCAGATTTTATATGCAGATAGAAAACCATGAAACTTTTTCTTAAAAAGTTTTCTGCTATCTATGATAGATTCTGAGATACCCTATTGCAGCAGAAACTTTAGGGGGTCGTTTCACCCCCTAAATATGAAAACAGGTTAAAATAAAAAAAATACGTATATCTTATTTTTCGCTCCTTTAAAACAGATCCAAAAATCTAAACAATCGGAGGCGGACACCTAAAAAACATTCCTTATCAGTCTCTCAGTCTTCTTGATCAAACTGTCTTTTTCTACTTCGTCGACGCTTCGAAACTTTGGACTGATTCACAGCTAGTCGGACTTGAAATATTTGGTTATACAACTAAGGTGTCGATTCTATTTATATGCGGCTCCAGGCGAACCCAAACGTACAAAGGGACAGACAATCGAGGAGAGAGAGAGAGAGGTCCAAAGACACAAAGCGAAGAGCCGAAACGTATCGGAGAGAGAATATGTATCTCACTTTTGCTCGCTAAGAGCGAATTATGTATCTCGCTTCGTTCAGAAATAGCAGAAAGCGTCACCTCATTTTCACCGGTCAGCCGTGTATCTATGGGTATTACCATTTCTATACACTGTACATAATAGAGGACGACTCCGCAAGGAGAAAATAAAGATCGTAGTACGTAATAACATATTGAGAGTGGTTTATTACACGACCTCGTCACCGAAGTCATCTTTACTCACTAACCTTAGGCAAACCCGACTGGATTGGCGTATCAACCGCTCGGCGGTGTGTCGACATCACCGTGTCTAGATACTAAAATAAAACTATTACAAATAGTTAAGCACATAAAGCAGAGATATAACATATATACTTACTCTATTTTTTAAAATACAGAACTAAAAATAGGAATAAAATGATGAATGCAAGAAATCATCGATAATGGGATTTGAAAACTATATAGTTCGTACATTTTTTAAATTTTATCAGACTAAAACAATTGAGTTGGTGAAATTTTAAAAGAATTAAATTAAGGCAAGGAAGTTTTGTCAGATAAGTATACCCAGGTGACTCTACATATTTAATATATTCATTGATAATCATTTTTGCGTACAACCCGATGACTTAATAGGATTAAATAAGATTTTGAATGACTAAGCTAATAGAAAGGCTAATAGAAAAATGTAGAAACGTTGTATTATATATTATATATCATTAATAAATGTACAATAAGTATTGTAACAAGATAACATTATAAAATGTATTGTCCATTCACAGTTTTATAAAAGGCCACCCGTATTAATACTGCATTATTACAGTAGTTGTGCGTTTGTATAAGCTTATATCTCAAAAATATATTTATTATTTTTACCACAATTCTTCCAAAAAACACTGCAGAATGTGATGATTTAGTAATCACATTATATTTAACTTTGTGCGTTTAACATTTACTTTGCTATACTTAACTCTTGTTGCAAAACAAGAATTAGCAAGCCAAGTATCATATTCTCTTTGGTATGTTACTATCAGTCAGAATTACTGGAATCCGATGAGCCAGACATAACCGATGCTATTATAAACATTAAACATATATGGATTTAAGCAACCAATTAATCCTATAAATTAGGTAGATTATATATTATTTTTACACATAATGCTTACCAATGATGATAATTAAAATAATCACACAGATAATGCCAATGATGATCATCATTTTCAGATTTTTCCACCAATATTTCCTTTTCAATTTTCCTGCTTGCTGTTCAAATTGCGTTGCACCTTGTTGCAAAACATCTGCACGCGTTTCTAATTCTGACAATTTCTGATCTCTTTCCAATACTTTCTCCACATTTACTTTCATTATCCCCACAACTTCTTTAACAGTTGCTTGCGTTTGCTGCAACTTCTTTGTGGATGCTGCTTGTTGTGGTGTACGAGGACCACCCACTTCTGCATCTCTAGAATTACCACTGCCATCCATGATTCTGTAATGATTAGTGTTACATGCGTCACATACAACTCTAAAAGAATGTATTACGAATAGTCACTATAAGACAAATCTAAATGTGCTTATTTTATAAATCGTGACTATATGTTAATGGTATTGTACACACCCATAACCTCTGAGTTCATAAAAATGCTGGTACAAATAAGACTATTCTAGTTGCGTTCTTATACAATATTAAAAAATTCTTTTATGATTCTTAACCAATACAATATTAATGTTGAAGTATCCTTAACATAAAAAAAAACACAATACCACACATCAAAGTACGTGTTTATGTTTACCGTGCTATAAAAACAGCTTTCAATATGAATATGCTTTTAGCAAGTTGTTTAAATACTACGAAAAAGAATAATGCGCTCACTTTTAAATAAAAAATATGCACGAAAATCAAGTAGAATGAGATTTACTGATAAACGATGACAGGTATTCCAAACTTTACTTCGATGACGAGTACACCTTTTTGCAACAGTACATGACATATAATAAAGATGGCGATACTCGTGACGTCACGTTCCAGTCACGTTCATTTCAGAAATATTTGACATTTGACAAGTGCTAAAAGAAGATGGAATATTTAAATTCTAACATGGTGAAATTAATAGTTATTATATTTTGTCAAAAATTTATCTAAGTGTTTTTATATTCGGATATTATATTCATGTGGTGTCCGATATTTCGTAAATCTATGAAATAAATATATGACATTTATGCAAGGATCTGTGAAAAATTGGACACTTAAAATATATTTAAAAATATGCAAGACTGGTCGATGAAATTTGTCGTAGCAGCTTGTCGATTCTATGTGCTTAACCATATTCGAGTTGGCAGGAAGTCGGGAATCCAAGAAGAAATTTAGATAAGTATTTTTTGCCTATAAAATGATAGATTTAACAAGAATGAACATGATACTTTGTGGTGTTTTTAACTTATCTTTTACAGGTAGTTTAATCAATGTCGAGTAGTAATCTATAATATGTGAAGATCATGGACAGACAACTTGGTTGGTACATTAATTGATATGTACCTTAAATACATGTAAGTAATATGTTTTATACTGTACACATAAACTGTTGTGAGTTTACCATTATTAAATTATAAATATGGTATGGAAATACAGCAATGTTAAATTAGATAAAATTGTTTATTGTCATAACTGTACCATTACATCCTTTTTGTCTGAATTACAAAAATTCCTGAAATAGTTTACTTATAATAATCTTTTAAAAATTATATAATGTGGCTGCAACTTAATTTCTCAACTTTTATTAAGTAACTTTTGTACTTAGCTGAGCACCAAATATGAAATAATGACATTTACAACAATGAAAGTGACAATAAATTATCAAATAAATCACTCACAGAATGGGAATTGAATGTGGTTGAAGTCTTTTCTGCATTGCTCAAATTTGTTAGTTATACACTGATGGACATAATTATACGACACCTCATTCTTTAAAAAAATATGTATAAGCTTGTATACATAGTGTGAAAGATGATGGGATGAAAGAGTAATATTCGCGAACTCCATCACAATGTAAACAAACACAAAGCGTCAAAGCATTTCCAAGAATTGTAATCTTTGGTTTTTTCCATAGGACAAAGTTATAAGACATTAATGTTAGTCAACTACAGACAGTCATTGAATCTAAATGTATTCGTATGTTTCGTACTGTGAAGTCTCTATTACTTTGATTTTGTTAGTACAAAATAGAAAAACATTAAAACTAAAATCATGCCACGTGGTAAAGTTTTAACTGAAGAGGAAAAAATAGAAATCTTTTAAAGAAGACCAAAAGGAGAGAATTTAATACAAATGTCACTAAAAATGGAAAGAAGTAGGTATGTAATTTGTAATTTTTTAAATAATCCAAAAAATTATGGAAAAAAGAAGAGATCTGGAAGACAATCATCCTTTACTTTAAAAGATAAAAGAGCAGTTTTAAGGTGTTCAGGATAAAATGGGATGTTGAAAGAAACTTTACACACTCGCTTCACGCCAAGAAACCGGACTAATTTGTCACATGGAACGGCGCCGACGTGTCGCTGTCGTCGGAAGAGTTCAACATATTAGAAGGTCTCTAGCAAGGAATGGTAAATTCTCCAATACTATTTAACATCTTCACTTGTGACATACTCAAGCGATTCAGCATCAATAATAATGATAAACTGTCAGCGCTCGCGTTCGCAGATGACCTGATTGTTTATACCCATAGTAATAAAACCACTACCGTTCAAAAAGATTTCGAAGATATAGTACACAAAATTAATAATTATTATAGTATATGGAATCTTCGTCTCAACCCACATAAATGTGAAACAATATTATTTAGAAAACCGTTAGAAAAACTCTCAACACAAGCTAAACTAGATTACAACAATATTAGTATTAAGACATCTGTACCTGAGTCAAACATCACGGCTATCATAGAAAATAAGAAATCAGTTTCAGTTAAATATTTAGGAGTACATCTAGATTATTTACTAAGGGGTAACATCCACCTGCAAGTACAATTAGATAAAGCGAGGAAGGCCTTCCAGGCAAATAGTGCAATATTCTACAACGATAAACTATCCCCAAGAACCAAAACAATATTGTATATGCTACTAATAAGGCCGATTTTAGCCTATGCTGCCCCCACTTGGTGGAACACCGGCCAATCAATTATGGAAAAAATAAGACTATTCGAACGCAAATGTCTGAGAACTTGTCTAAAAATATACAGATCAACACACTCCACTTTCAACGTTACATCAGCAATAGCTCCATATACAATATAGCAAACATCCCAGGTTTCGACAAAGTTTTAAAGCCGAAATTGCAAAATCAGGCCTTGGAGTCGCATCCGCCAAAGTGTAACGAATATATTAAAACCAGAGTTATTAGAAAATATTGCTTCTTTGCTTCAATATCTTCGAAAAAAATCATGCTAGCCTAATCGCCCTGTCCTCGTCTCTCCTGCAAATTTTGTATCGTCCTCTCTGTCCTTGTCCCGGAGTTTCCTACTTTTTCCGCAACTGTCGCTGAAGTCAACTCGGAGTTTGGCTCTGGCTCCTGCGCACCCTTAACCTAAAACTTAAAACTAACTAACCTAGTTATAATTAAAACGCATGGCAGCACTGTCGACATCATGTTGCCACAAGCTTGTGGGGAGAGCTTAGGTGTCTACCGCAAGAAATAGAGAGCCACGAGTTTCGATTTTTGAGACAAACTGGCGCCACCAACGGAAAGTAGGTGAATTACTAGATAGTTTTTCCCGTTTTTCAGGCACAATAATGAAAAAAACATATAATAATTATGCATTTCGTAATCAAGAGAAGTAAATCTATCGTCTCGTTAAGCGTTTTTTGGAAAAAATTGAAAAAAAAAAAATGTCTTGTCTTTGAACGTATTTTTAGCAAGTTTCAAAAGCGAATTGCAAAATGTGTAACTGTCCCCCGCAACGGTATTTTATAAGGAACAGTTTAAAAAAGAAATCAGCTGGAAAGGTCGCTTCCTCGCCTCATAAAATTACAATGGTGTTGTCGTTATGAAATCGAGAAGACTGATGCGCTTGAACAATGGCTTGAGTTGCTGGTGTGCCGATAATCTAAAAATGCCTTTCAGCATGGTTCAGTACCGTACTAAAAGTATAAAGCGCCCGAGCTTATATATTTTACTTTTGCATATGTATATATATTCAATATTATATTGTTAAAAAACGTCATGTATATGTTAAGGTTGTTTATATTGCATTGCAATTAATTGACACATAATAGTCTGTTACGATAATTTCAAAGTAGTAAATAATAAACAACTGATATGATTTGTAATATGGTACGAAAATAATAAAGTACTAATTGTTATTTGTGGAATGTAATGATAGTATACAATGTAAAAAATATTGTATAATAAAAAAGGTAAAACGTTTATGAACATTATTTTTGAATATACGTAATTATATAAGAAAAAGCACACTAACAAAGGGAAGGCACGGATGTGCAATCGCTTTTGCAACGACCCTATGGGGGTCGTAGTACGCATGTAGTACTGCAAAACCATTCTGGTTTTTTTCAGAATGGGTGTTTGTTTTTGATGTACAATAAAAGCATCTAGCAAGGTTCGTTGAATGGATTGGTAGAGTATTAGATTGTAACGCTGCTTGACTCCGGGTACGAATCCCGATTGATGTATTTTTTTTTTTATTTCAATTTTCTATCAGAAATATACTTTTTGGATATCATGTACTATATACTGCATATTATATATTACCTTACGCATATTTTAAGGTTAAAATTAATTTTTTAACGTAACATATCATGCCGGAATACCTACTTGCTGTAGGTGAGTAAGTCTTTACAACAATTTTTATGTTTGGTCGTAAGTTTATTTCGTTTTATCGTGACAGTCACATGAAGGAAGGTTTGAAAGTTTGAAAATGGATAGTGATTCTTTGCGTGCAAGTTGTTTTGAAGAAGTAGTCATCGATAGCAGAGAATCCAAGCGTAAAGAGGACAGAATGTGTGTAATGTTTTCTCTTTCTCTGGTGTGTGTATTCTCCGGAATACTACTGTTAGTTGTACATGTATACGTTCCATTCGTTCGATTTTACTAGTCTTAAAATGAGAAAGCATGTTATCTTCTATCATTCTCCAAAGTATAACACCCGTGCTCGAGCGATCACTTTATACTTTGCCGCTACACCGACCCCCCCCCCTGTTTTGTCTACGGGTTCCTCCTCGTCACGCTCGAGAACGGCCAAGCCGAATATACCATAACTGTTTCGAAATAAGCAACTCGCCGATCCCGATTGAGTTATTTATTTCGAGACATTGCTGTACTTGTTTCTATTTGTATAATGAATTTCAATATATTTATCTCTATTCTACATAGATATGTTTGATACGCATCATGGCTATCCAAAAATCGAGTACATTTCATTAACGTAAATCAAGCGGTATACCCAGTAGAATTAAATAAACAATTTTGCAGTTGTGAATCTAAAGCATTCATTCGATGTACATGGTGATTAAAAATTTTGTTTCCACTGCTTTTTCGAAAATTATCATCCAAGTTCATGTACATCATAATGGAAATTGTTTGTTTTAAAAAATATATCCGAACATTAGTTATAAATAAGTCATATTTAATGAATGTATTTTTAAAAGAAAGTGATAAAAAAGAATAGTGTAAGAATGTTTCAACGGGATTCGAACTCGCGACAGAGGAATTATTATGCTGATGCTTTACTGACCACACCGAATTCGTTATTGACAGAATCGCTTATAATTCACCAAGTAAGTAGAAATAATAACTTCAATGTTGAATATCTCCTAAACTATAAATCGTCGTGCAAAGGCTCATCAAAAAATTAGCGTCATATCTGGGCCCGTTCCCTTGTCAGTCTCTCTTTCTTCTTCATCAAACTATCTCTTTCTACTTCGTCGACGCCTTCAAACTTTGGACGGATTCGAAGCTGATCGAAACATTTGGTTACACATA